ATTTAGGATTGGATCCTCATCCATCCGGACGGAAAATATCAGTACTGAAATGAAGTGAGCCATAAAAATTTTGAATTTATTAACAAGCAAATGTTTTTTCCGCCTTTTGTAAATTAAATAACTTCTCTGCAAGAAGGTACGTATACATATGTAGGATTAAGGACTACTACATTATTCGTCTTGCTAAGATGGCAACTCTATGAACTTTGAAGAAATAATTAATTAAGCATACCTTTGCTTGTTGCATAAATTTCCTGGTATATATTTTTCTAATATCATTCGTGCAACATCTTTGATTTGTAACTTCGCATTTTATTATATAGAATAAAGTTAAGAATATAGGAAACGAATTCTATACATATGTATATGGTATATGGGGTAGGGAAATATCCCTTTTCGCTAGCAGTAAACCTTTCAGTGTGGGCAACATTGATATTTTTAAATAAGGCAGATCGGAATATGCGCTCTCTGGGAAGACAATACCTGTTATTATTGTAACATGTTATTTCACTATGGTTTAATACACCTTGGGTGTGTGCATGTATATGAATGAGCTAATTCGGTGAAGAAAACTAATAAAGGCTATTTCATTTGATGAAAATTCGAAAAGTAACAACAGTCTGCCACGTTAAAAGGTAGGTGTTGTTGTTGTTGCAGCGGCACTACTAAGCCCCGCCTATTTCGGTTTGTCCATCAATCCTTGTCGTCAAGCTCAACTAACGGTAGGCCCAAGAAACGGGCAGTTTCGAAGGAGTCGGATCAAGAGATAGGGGTGTTAGTTTAGTGGGACTGAGCTAGCATGTGAAGAGGTAGTTGGTGTCGTGCGGGGAGTCTCCACATTCCGGACACTCATTGGGGTCACGTCCATACCGTAACTGGGCCAGAGTAACGCTGGTCTCTTGGCAATTGAAGCTTCGTATCTGCTACAGGTGGTGATTGGGCTCCGATCACGGCATTCATAGGCGGGGAGTGGTAGTAGGTGGTGACCTCGGTGGTACGTCGGTGAGTCCAGTGGTTGATCAATGTATACGAATAAGCAAGGGTCTGGTGGGGTGCTGACGTTTGTGGCATCCCACCGTGGAGCTGTCAATTATACTGTGGAAGTTATAACACCTTCGGGTAATCGCATTGTCAAAGCTCACGCTAACCAACTTAAGCGCCGTTACTCTAAAAATTAAATGATAGAGTTGTTTGAATTGCCAGATTTCGACGACAATCTACCACTAAAAGCTGCAGCTAGACAGAGGGATGAAGTTGACCCAATATTATCCCAGAACCAGGAAATCAAGAAATCAATGAATCCGCTGGAGAAACAATTTTTGAGGAAAATCAGGAAGGGATGGACGACTTTCTAAAAGAAGACATTCAGGGCTCTAAAACAATTCAAGATCAACACCGTTATCCAGTACGAGGGAATAGAGGACAGACTAAAAAATTTGACGACAACGTCAGATTTTAAAGGGGGAGGAATGTTACAAATGGATAAACAGAGTGTTCGAGACTTGATTATTGACTTTGCGTTGAATTTCATTCCTTAAAAGCTTTACACTTTTTGTCAAATTATTTTATTGATTGAAAAACATGGTACAATAAAAACCGGTAGAAGCCAATTTGACGTCAAACCAACAAAAGTCAAAGTTTTCGGGAGAGTAAAAATAAAAATGAGCGTGTGTAAGGAAAAATAAAAAATTACATTTCACTGGTTGGCGTTTTTAAGTAAATTTGAAGTTTATTTTCATTTATTTATTTTCTTTAGATAAAATTTGTTAACTTGTATGTTGTTTTCTGTTTTTAATTTGTGAGTTGCAGTGTTATTGGAGGGACTTTTCGGCATAAGGGTCATAGGAACCATGATAAAAACATAGCAAGGTAGAACCCAAGGCGAATTAATATAAGGTGATAGCAGGAGTACAAAAACAAAAATTTACATGTATTTTGTTTTTGCTTTGGCGGCATAAACTGTCAAAATTTGTAAGAGTGTGTGTAGAAATTCAAACAAAATTTTTCAATTTGATATCAGAAGCCGTGCGGCGAAACACATACACAAAATCAGCTGAGCTAGTAACACCACCTTATATAAATTCGTCTTGGTAGAACCGTTCTCTCATTTTGTCGGCCATGATTTTTTTTTTGAAGTTTGCCAGCATTTTAAAGTCATATAAAATTGAAAATAAAAAATTGAAATTGTTCGAAATTGTTGTTGCTTGAGATTGAAAATGAAAATGTGTGTGTGGGTTTGTGAGTAAATTTAAGAATTAAAATGTTTGGAAACGTCAAAAATTTTAAAAGTAACTCTCAGCGGTTCTACCTTACTATATTTGTATCATGATAGGAACAGCACTTGGCATCAAACGTGCCTTTTCTGTACCTCCCGGTGTATTTGTGAAATCTGCTCCTTTAAAATGTTTAACGCACAACAAGGCATTTCGCTGCAGCTCTGCCCCATAGCTTCTTTCGCAACACTCCTTACGCGAAGGACATTGAGGCACGTTAAAAAAACTAGTTGTACCTGCTTTAAATTTAACACCACACAAAAAGCAACGCTTCCGGTGTTGCATTTTTAACACATACACTAAGTATAAACCGCACAACACTACAAAAATTCAAATATTAATTAAAATTTGTTATTACGGACATTCAAAAAAAACAACGATAAGTCATTGAAAGCGTAACGAAATAAAGGAAATAAAAGAAAAGCAAGTTGAAGTTTAAAGGTTTGGTTCTCATGAGAGCAACGTCATTCTGGCTTCTACCTGTATTTATGTGCTTTGATTGAAAAATTAGTATTTCTATTCCTTTTGCAATTGAATAAACATATCTTTGTAAATCTTCATTATTCATTTAATAATTACGATTTACTACAGGGCCTTCTGTTAAGCTCTCTTACGGGAAGCATTTGGCCCTCGCTGTACAGGTGGTGCTCAGTCGATATCAGAAGGCATCTTGTCGCTGTCCGGAGTGCGGCATTCTGACAAGTCTATAACTTCGTCCAAACAGGCGCATCATAGTTCAGAACCGACCGGCCAATTGCATTGTGTGTAGCCAGCAACGTTTCTTTGTATTTGCCCCAGGTGCTGCCGGCGAGAGACGTGAAGACCTTGTTGCGGCTCTGTATTTTGTTGACAACTGTGGTTGTGAGCGCGGAGAAGGAAAGCAGGCTCTCAAAGGATTTCGGGTTATTCCTGAAGCCTGACCTCCTTCGTTGGGAAGAGTGTTAGACTCCTTGCAGTGAAGAAGCGAGAAAACTCTGAGAGATAACCTTTTACTTTTGAGCAGAAGTCATCAATTCAAGTCCAGGATAAAGCGAGCGGCAGTGACTACCTTGCGGAACTGGCATTTATGTCTGTGGTTGTGGGAATATTAGATTTGTTAGATGATGTGCACAGCGACATTGTGCGCTCAGAACTTATCATAACACATCATTCAGCCCCAGTGCTCCGATGAATCCAAGCAGTTTCGGGGAGGTAGAGAGTGTATATGCGTAGCCTCTGGCCACATCCTACCGAGCTAGTTTAGCATTTTTCTCGCAACGGCATCGCATTCAAAGAGATGCCTTGAGAATTCTGGTGTCACATCGCAGTAGCGACACAAGTCGCCTGCACATATCCCTAGGGTATGCATATGGGCTCGCAGTCTGCAGTGCGCCGTTAGCATCTCTGTTATAAATCTCAGGTTAGTCTTTTGAAATGTTATGAGTTTCCTAAATCTCTTGGGATTGTAGCTTCATTCGCCTGCCTTAGTACCATTAATATGCTATTATATGCATTATGTCAAAGATCGTGGTGCGCACTGGAGTCATTTACCACCTTTGGCTTTACCTCTAAGTAGCGCACATATTTCAGGTTGATATCCTGCCTGGCAGCAGGCGACAGGGGGTATATATACGCGGGATCTTCTTGGAGCCGTGCAAGCTCTTTGGGTGCTGGTTTTCACCTGCGCGTAGCGCGTTGCTCGAGCTGGTAGCCGTGGAGGCGGGCAGTGGTGCCCGTCGGGAAAAGAAGGATGCGAAGCAATGCGGCTGCCAACAACGATTGATGGGGTCCGCCGATTGAAACGGGGTTAAGTCGCCAAACCACAGCTTTTGGTCGGGTAAAACCCGAGTCATTCCGGAACGTAGAACCGGCTGTCGTGGGAATGCCTCGATGTTCACCTGTAAACCAAGGATGTTTTTTCAACTACCTTTACAACCAACTATTCAGGAGATTTCAAGATTTCAGCCCGAAGTCTCAAAAGGGTTGGTTCTCTACCGGATTTTACCATTGTTCCTTTTCCAATTTTCGTCCACCATAATAATCATCACCATAATATTAACCCTTCTGCAATGATTTCATCAAAATGACCCAATTATCATGAAAAAAAAATCTTTAATTACAGAGTTAGGTAATTTTAAATAAGCTACGGCGTTGTCTATTCGTTAAAAGTATAATCAGCTATGGTTTTACAAAAAATACAAGTTTTTTATTTTTTTTTTTGTTTTCTAGAAGCGACATAGTTTCTCCAAATTGACCCAAATTATTTAGTATTTAAGGGCAACTTTCAACCGGTAAGCATACAGCTCTTGAAGATAAAGTGTCTGTATGTGATAAATAAGATATTAACTGAATTTATATCTAAATATTGTTTTTCTTTCTTAAAATTGACTAGTTTCTATCATTGGGTCAAAATGACCCAAAAACATTATAGGAAGTAAATTCCAAACACTGCATTTTGGCCCAAATTATTATTTGGACACTTTGAACTGGTAAGCATACAGCACTTTCCGATAAATTATTTGCATATGATAAGTAAGATATTTACTGAATTCAAATTGAAATATCGTTTTTTTTTTCTTAAAATTGGCTAATTTTTAATATTGGCTAAATTTTAATATTGACCCAAAAACATTTTAGGAAGGGGTAAATTCCAAACACTGCAGAATGGTTAAGTGATTATTCGAAAGTAAATACAAATATTCATATTTGAAATCAACGTTAGAGAGTAATAAACTAATAATGGCATACCAATGTAAAAATCAGAACGTGATTTTGATGAGCTTGGCAGAAACGAATTTGTGGAGGCGGAAGCATTGGAACTTGAGGTATTATTTGTTATAAAATTATTTGTTGTACTGCCGCCAAATGATGATGATAAAGGCAAACGCATTATTCCACCCTTTCGCACAGGAACTGTCATTGATTTACGAGTGTATGGTGACAGCATATAATAGTGATAATATAGCATTGTTGGTTGAATGGATGGATGAATATATGACAAAAGCAAGAATTAGTAAAGATAAACATCACATTTATAAAACTGTTAGATGCCTAAGAAGGAAACGCTGAAGTTGTGATATATCCTCATGATTGAAGCAATAATTCAAAATGGCGTAAAATATTAGACACAATTGGCACACTTACCTCGAGTCTTACTTTGGCCCTCTTTAGCAGGATCAGACATAGTTTTAATGTGCAGCAAGAAATTGCGAGTACGAGTCTTAAATAGTTTAGGTGAAGTCAATGTGACTGTACCACCTTGGTCGCAAAGATCGATGCATGAGGACAGTTCAATGGGACCAGCGAGAATTTCAGCATTGTGAGTCTGTAAATACTCGTCGTTCAATACAGGGTTTTCGTTTGTACCTAATAAAGAAGACATACATGTAAATAAAAATGTATTATATATCAGTATCAGTATAAAGAGACGTATTACCATCATAGTTATTAAAAGTTAAATCTATGTTCTCATCCATTGTTGTTTGTTTGTAATTGAGATGGGGACCTTTCATACGATAGCCGAACCCGCTGGTGTTCTGTTTCAATAATGTTACTTGAATTGCAGCAGGATTATGACACTGCTGATACAACGAAAATTTGAAATCAATATGGCCCAAGCTCACAGGTTGCACGAGGTTCAATTCGATAATATGTTCATCCCATGTGGTACTATGAGTAAACAAATAGGAAGAAACCAATATATTATTGTTGTAATTACAAATGTAAAGAAAAATTCTGCTTTCATAATATAATGAAAGCAGAGATCGCAAATAACACATTCACATATATCTGTACTTATTCAAAGCCATAAACCGAAGTGCTCACATATTAAAAGAGCCCGGCAAAATCCTAGAATACGAGTCGGTGATATGGTCATCCCACACACAACAACAAATTGATAGTATTGAAAGAATACAGCATAAATTTTGATAACTCGTGCGTTACTTCATACATCCTGAAAACACAATCAGTCTTATCATGAGTTTAATTTTCCCCGCCCGATTTTGGTCACGAGCGGGTGTGGTACGGTCGCGTCTGTTCGCTTATAGTTCGCAGTTATCCCACGTTTTGTGCTTGTGAGAATTTTCTAGTGTTTTTTGACAAAGGCTTTTTGTGTGGGCCGCGCTAGTTTATAAACTTTACTTCTATACTTAAATTAACTCGGTCGTCGCGAAAATTTAAAATTAGTGTTAACAAACTCAGGTGAGTGGTCCTGGCTAAATTTTTTTTTTATTGTCATATTTTTCTTGGATTGAGGGAAAAAAGATTGCCTCAGGTTGCCAGCAAAAAAGAAAAAGAAGCTGCCGTTTAAGGCACACGCTAGCAAAATGGCGTCACCGACACGAAAGTCGGTGGCGTCTTTTGTGAAAAATGCCACTAGTGGCACATCCAAAAAAGCTAAAATAACTGAAAGCGAGGATGTCACTGGCTTTTACGAGCTGTCCAAGGGTGGTCTTGTAAGAATCTGTGAGGACTCCTTAGCAGATAATAATGCAAATAATATTGATACGACAATGGACTGTGATTTGAGGTTAGGGTCAGTAGGCAGTGAAGGTTCAGTGGTATCAAATACAGTTAGTGCTAATATGCCAAAAGAGCGCGATAATAAGCAAGATGGTGGTTTAGTCTCCTACCCACAGCATTTTCGCGGTGAAATTTTTGTGCTGGTTGACTCTTCGGCCAGTACAGTTATGAACAATGATAAATTGACGACAGGTCTAGAGCTGTTCAGCCAAATCAAAGACTTGAGATTTAAGGATATTGATCTCATCCATGCGGTTGGCAGGTCACTCTACAAGGTGACTTTTACAAGCACGTACTCTGCAAACACCTTTTTATTTGATACTCGCATTGTGAAGCGTGGTTTAAGGGCGTTCGTTCCTCGGACAGCACTCGAGAGCTACGGGGTCATCAGAGGTGTACCCACGTGTTTTAGTGAGCAGGAGATTGCCAAGGAAGCAATTAGTAATATTCCAATAGCATCAGTTAGGCGCTTCACGCGCAAAGATGAAGCTAATAGCACTTATGTCCCCACTACTACTTTAAAAATTGGGTTTGAAGGTAATGATATCCCAAAGACCATTGTTTACAATTACACCAAACTGACTGTTGAATACTTCGTACCATCCCTGAGGCAGTGCGACAACTGCGGAAGGCTAGGGCACACCAAACTCTCGTGCAAAAGTAAGGCTAGATGTTTGAAGTGCGGCAACCCAGAGTGTAAGGACGCAGACTGTAGAGACAAGTCATGCATATTGTGCGGTAAAACTGGGCATACGGCCAAAGAGAAAAACATCTGCCCCCAATGGGAGAAAGAACAAATGATAAATCGAATTAAAACAGTTAAAAAAATGTCCCGTAAAGAAGTCTTGGATCAATATTACCCCAAGACGAGCAATCGCTTTGACATATTAGATTCTGATGAGACCAGCTTTCCTCATCTTAACAGTAACCCAAGTGAGGTGGTTGACAAGGACATGCATATAAACAAAAATTTTACCAAGAAATCATATAGCTATGTGACCAAAAAACAAACTCCCAAAGAAACCAAACCCCTTAGCAAAGCACCCCGTAGACCCCCTGCGCTGATAAATCCGGTGTACAATTCCCCGGAATACCAAAAAGGTATAGTGACAGAAATTGAGCGGCTAATGGCCGAAATGATCAAAATCACCCAAAAAATGTCTATCGAAAATAGAGACACGCAAACCTTTAACGACATCCAATCAGTAAAAAACAAATTTGAACGTATTTTAAATCAAAGGGATGAGATAGAAATTTCAAACTCCTTCACTAGCAATGAAGATCCTGCAATATAACTGCCAATCATTAAAAGCAAACCTTGACACTATTGAGTACTACCTAAACAAATACAATTTTGACTTAGCATGCTTTAACGAAATCTTTTTGTCCAACACCACCCATCATAGAAAAATTCTAAACTATAGTTTAATCAAAAATTGTCGTAGTGATGGGTATGGTGGTGTAGCCATAGCCATCAAGCATGACGTTAAATTTAAAAAACTTGCTTACAACTCCGAGTATGATGTTTTGATGATCCAAACCAAAAACCTTAACCCAAACATTACAATTTGCAATATATACTTTCCACCCAGAATTAGTATAAATGATTTCAATAATGAAATAACCAGGATTTTAAATTTTTTAGAGGCACATAGAAATATATTCTTAGTAGGTGACTTTAATGCCAGTGCAACCCTGTGGCAGAGTTGACTCAAGCAGAGGCAGGCACCTCATCAGACACATTCAGCAATCATCTTTGCGATGCTTAAATAGTGGGGACCATACGTTCAAAACGGATATTCGGTCGGAAAATGGCTCAGTGCTTGATCTGGCTTTTAGCAATTGTGGCTTGTCATGTGACTGGAGTGTTGATTCCACCAGGATTGGGGGTAGTCATCACTTTCCCATCTCCATTGAAATCAAGGAATTAAGCAAAAATGTTACTAAATTTTTAGCAAAGAAAAAGTTATGTGAATCCCTTAAAGAATTGGTATGTGAATCCAACATACATGACTTTGAAAGCAAAGTACAAGAAGAGATCAAAAGAGCCACTTACGTGACAAGTGGAAATCGAACCCCCAAACCCTGGTGGAATAAGGAAGTTGACAAAGCGTATAGATTCTTCCGAATTGCGTTCCAAAAGGCCAAACAATGGCCCAGCCCTAAAAGTTGTTAAAGATGCCAAAAAGAAGAATTTCAATAGCAAAATCGACCAAATAAACTCAAGTCTAGGGAAAAATGCGTGGAAGTTTGTCAAGACGTTACGTGGCGATCATAGTCAAACTGGTAAGGGTGTCTGGAATGAGGAGTATAACCAAGACTACCTTAATATGCTGAAAGAACAAATCCCGACACATATATCGGTGACTGAAATAAACTGCCCTATGCAGCCTAGCCCTAACCTTGCGATTACATGTGATGAGATCAACCTCATACTTAATAGGAAAAAAGACACAGCGGCAGGTGCTGACAACATCTCTTATAGCATGCTGAGGTCACTGTCTGACTTCACTCTAAACACTTTCAAAACCTCCATCAATGACATTTTGCTGTCCAACCAAATTCCCCCCCACTGGCGCGTAATTAGGATTGTACCTATACCCAAAAGGGACAAAGACCTCACGCAAATAGAGAATTTCAGACCCATATCGCTCATTTCAGTTATGTTAAAAATAGTAAATAGTGTTATTAAAGAAAGACTATACGAATTTGTGGAGTCAAACTGCATCCTACCAAATAACACCTTTGCGTACAGGAAGAACAAATCGACAGCGATGTGCATTAATCACATGCTACACCAAATTGGGGTTCTCAGAGGCAACAGAAAGCAGGTAATCTTGTGCTCCACAGATGTATCAAACGCGTATAATTGCGTCAACATTCATACCCTTCAACAAATACTTGTAGACCTGAAAGTAGAGAAACTCTATATTGACTGGATAATAAATTTTTTGGCTAGCAGGACTTTAAAACTAGGAAACAGTACGGTCGAAATTAGTAATGGGCTACCGCAAGGAAGTGTACTCTCACCAATCCTCTTTAATATTTATACGAAACGGCTACACAATCTATCTGACTCTAATATGCAAATATACCAGTTCGCGGACGACTTTTTCTTTGTATCATCTGGCAATAGTTTTCCCGAGGCTAACAGCAACCTCCAGGCAAAACTAGATAACTTCATTGAAATCTGCAGCCAACTACAACTAAGTTTCAACCCAAGCAAAACTAAAGTTATGCATGTTAGCAGAGGACCAAAAAAGGAAATTAATGTCACTATCGGCCAGATTAGACTGCTACAAGTTAATGAAATTAAAGCACTGGGTAGAGTAGTAAACAGCTCTCTGACCATGAGTAGTCACTACCAAACCACCATAGAGGCAACGTCCAACAATATCAAGTTCTTCAAATACCTAACAAATGTCAAATCTGGCCTACATCCTCAGAAAGCCATGAACATATACAAAAGTCTGGTCAGGTCTAAAATTGAGTATGGATACACCACTGCTGCTAATGGTGCCAAATCTGCCTCCAAAAAAATACTCACTCTACAAAACAAATTTCTCAGAAGATGCTTGGGTTTGACGCCCTCTACCCCTATTCCCACCATTTATGCACTGGCCAATGAACTGCCTCCTGCAGAGAGGTCAATATGGCTTGCAGCGAAAGAACTGGCTAAAATGTTTGCGGTTAATGACCCCATAGTTGCTTCGGTTAGATCCAGCCCCCCTGTGAACTCCAGTTACTCCTTCACATATAACAAATTCAGGCAAATTTTCGATCGGCTCGAACCTTTGGGGGATCACCCCACCTCCACCAACTGTGAAATAATCGACAACGCTTTCCCTGGCCTCAAGGCCACAATGACTGCTGAATGTGGCAATGCTCACTTCTCTAGGATGCTCAACAATTACAAGGAGAGGAGGTTTAACATCATGTTCACCGATGCATCGCTCTCTGACAGTAGGACTGGTTGTGGCATATATAATTACAACTGTGACACTGAAACTGCATTCCACCTACCCTTTAAGTCTTCCACAGCCTTTGGGGAACTCTTGGCCATTGAAGAGGCAATTAATATCGCCTCCAATAATAACTACCGCAAATTAGTAATTTTTACTGACAGCCGTGTGTCGTGCCAAACCCTTAAAAACCCTAACTCACTCAATAGCATTGCTAGTAGAATCCTACGAAAAGTCCACGTAGCTGCTTTCGACAGTATCCACATTGTATGGATACCCAGTCACAAAGGTATTCCGGGGAATGAAAGGGTAGACAGCATAGCCAAAAAGGCAATTGACAATAGTAGTTGTAAAGACTACTTATATACAACTGACGAAGCTATCAAGCAGATAAAAGAAGCTCTGTATAATGAATGGTATGCCGGTTTTTTGGCATATGCAAATGACCATCCCAACTTATATGCTACTATCTTCCCCACGATAAGAGATACTGCATGGTTCAAAAAACTTTCACTGTCTCCTGCTAACATTAAAACCTTAAATCGAATACTAACAGGCCATACCTATGACAAGAACTACCTCTTCAAAATTCAGGCCTATCGGTCAAATCGCTGCTCGTGTGGTCAAGCTGATGGATACGTCCATCAGACCTTCCACTGCAGGCGGCACTTGACGGTTAGATCCGGATATGATATCTTCCAAACGCATAACAATTTTGAGGCAATCTTTCGTGACAAAAATCTAGCCAAGATAACTCAACTGGTTAACTTTTTACAAAAAGCCAATATCGTCTTTTAACATTTATGTTTAATGTACCTTTTGTTTAAAACCACATATGTATATGTATAGTACTGGTGTTGTAACTAGTACATTCGTTTTCATGTATCTATTATTTATACCGTCTCCACCTCGCTCAAACCCCTTCAATCCGCTCGTTGGCGCATCAAGCCGCCGTATACAATGTTAACAAAAGCCGCCCCCAAACTACAAACTGCCCAAGCAATTTCGGCACGCCCAGTGCAATCGTTTCAACAAGTCGTCTAACGTGTCCCAACCTCCACCTTCGATCAATTCGTAATATGTACTGACCTACAACCACACCAGTCAGGAGATAACATACACGGAGGAACAACATACATGGAGGAACGACCTGGCGTATGCGGTCCTAACTCTTAGGAACTGGCCAATAATCCAAAACCCAAAAAAAAAAAATTTTCCCCGCCCAGTTCAGTTGGTATTTCAGTCGTTGTCCTCAAGCGCAACTAACGGAAGTCCCAAGAAGCGTGCAGCCTATGTAGGGTTTGTCCACAGGGACAAAGGCGTTAGTTGTGTGGAGTTTTCCGGGCATGCGAAGAGATGTTTCGAGTCGTGGGGTGTTTCTCCGCATGCCGACTGTCTTGCTGAAATAAGTAAACGGCGAAAATCGTCGAAGACTTCGCAATGCTGCCAAGTTTGTCCGATTCAATACACTAGTCGAGTGAGGGAATGACGTGAAATTTTCGATATGATTCGACTCGCGAAAAACGACTTGACTTGCATTCGACACGACTCTCGCAATGAGCCTGTATATTAAAATACCGAAACTCGAAGAATTCAGAAAATCCATACAAAATCACAAAAGTTCAACTAAATAAAGCAGAAAAAACCTTTTAAAATCTCGAAAAGGAAAGATGAAAAATCTCGAATAGATACGATAAGTTCCGAAAAAAAGCCCAAAAGGTCCGAACGAGACCGAAAAATTCTGGAAAGATCTAAAATAAACTATACTGTTTCATCCATATCAAAAATTTTATAATGCTGGACTTATGCAAAGTACCGCAGTGGCACTATCATCGCAGTGCTGCATCGCAAAGCAACGTTTTTGAAATGAACTCAATAACTCTCGAAAATTGCATATACGATGACTCAAACAAGTGACCACGTGTTGATTTTTTTTTTAATATGCGAACTGTCTTTTGGGCTAAATTTTTTTGGTATATTTCTATAAAAATAGCGTCCAAGCTTTAATCAAAATCATATAAATCAGTTTCAAACTTTATACAAAATTTAGGAAAATTCGACAAATTTTCATAAAAATTTAAACTTTTCCATCTGAATCTTAAGAACATTTTTGGGCATGTAGCTTTACAGCCCATACGATTTAAGTCTAATGAAGTGCAAGTTTCAACCGGCTAAACCTCGCGTTGATTTTTGAGAATTTTCTTCTTTTTTGAGACTGGTTTTGCAGTCTTGTTGCAGTTTGCATGCCTACTTTGATAACCCTACTAAAAGTTGCTGAGAAGATAACCATACGTCTATCATACGTTCGTATCATGGTTTGCTTGCCTTGATTTAATGGAAATAACATTTTTTTAAAATTATTTCAAAGATATGGGGGCTTTAAATTTTTTTTAGAAATATTTTTCATTGAACATGGTTATACCACTGATTTACATTTTCATTTCGCGATTGAGAGCGAAAATTTAAAAAGCATACGTAGACGTAGGTCATCATAGAAGGATTAAGGAACTCCTCAAAACTCAGTTGCCGACTGTAAAATAGCCCAGTAGATATTTTCAGGAGTTAAAAGGCCTTCCTCAGACTCAAAGAGCTCTTCACTCTACATTCCTTTCTCCTTTCTTTTTTGTATGGAGTGGCGCAAATTGAAGGGCTCCTTCTTTCGCTACCAATAGAAGGGCTCCTATAAAAGCTCCCTAAAAAGGACTTTTATAGGACGTACTTTAGAAGGCCTTTGGGAGGAGTTCTTTTAAAGTTGCTTCTTTAATTTATAAAAATCCTACATCTCTGAAGTATTTGCTTAAGGTTTTTATCAAATATGTGTTATTGCAAGTTAAAAGCTTTTTTCAAATTCATTCGTAATGCTAAATATAAATTTATGCATTCGTGTACTCTTACTCTTATTCGTCTTCGATCTTATCTCTGGCTCCATTGACTGCCCATCTCTTCTTGAGCAGGTTACCTTTAATGTGCCTCTCAGAACTCTTCGCTCTCACATCCCCTTTTACGTTCCTGTAGTTAAGACTAACTACTCATCTTTTGCGCCTATTTTTGAGGCCTTGCGGAATTTAACAATATCTCAAAGAGCTTAGATATCGACTTTTCGTTTCCAAGAAGTCTCTTTAAATCATCTCTTGAAACCTATTTTCGTAATTGTACATATACTAGTCACCGTCAATACTTTTAAGCCTACTTCTAGTCTGTAAGATGGTAAATCATAGACTGAATAAAGATGAAATATAAATATAAATTGGAAACGGATAAGGCCTTCCAGACGGCATGCAAGGAAGCACTTTTTTCAGTTGTTGTTGTTGTAGCAGTATACAAGCTCCCCAAAGAGTTTTTGGGGAGTGTTGCTGGAGTAACAGTCCTTGGCCAAATATAAATCTGGGTCGTTCCGGTTACGTAGACCCGACTGTCGTGGGAACGCACTTTTTTCAGTCCTTCTTCTTGCTTAGAATGGCTTCACTTAAGAAGGCCTACCCAAATGATCTTCTGGGAGCAGTCAAATGCATACCGGAGAATGAGAAACATATTCCCATTAACACCAAAGGCAAGCTTAGGGAGGAGCAATATTATTTTTCTGTGTAACTGTTATTTGCGACCTCTGCATGAAAGAGAGTAAAGAACTTAATAGTTAAAAAAAAATTGCATACGCATCGTTATGCAGGCGCCACGTTTTTGTGAATTGTGTGTCATCGCCGTGTCGCAAGTGTTGTGGTTGCTTTCGCTGTTTTTGTGCCTGCACCAAGTCATTCCAGCAACTGGGCACTTCAGCGGTATACAAAGCCAATACATCGTCGAACTGTGTGAGTTCATAAAGCGTGCGCAGATCATCCAGCGAAAAATAATTTGTTTTATATGCCAAAAAATTCGAAGCCGCAACCGCGTTAATCGATGACGATGACGGGGATGGTGATGACTGTGAAAAATTGCAATTATTAATAATACCATAGCCACTAGGACTGCTGCTGCATCCTTGTCCACTGCAGTCTACTTTGATATTGGGTACAGGCAATAATGATGTGTTACTTAATGATTGCTTGTCAATGGTCAACTCCCCAGCTCTAACAGAAACTGAATTAGTCGTCGCTGACGCAGTAGCTCCACCAACATTTCTGCTAACGCCATCCGGCACCGTAACCGATGTACCCCCCGGGATCGAATTGCCAGAGCACCCGCCTATGTTAGAAAAGATATTTCCACCAGATATAGGAGCCGAAGACGCTGCCAAGACTGCATTGCAATCCTCTTCCATTTCCAACATTTCATCGCCAGATTCGTTTTCGGCGTCATTCAAGGAATAAAATATTAAAGAGCCATTACGTGTACATCCACATAATCGGTCCAAGCTTCGACAGTAAGCTACTGATACAAACTGTTCGCCGTCCTCTTCAACAACTGTAATTGGCTGAAAGTCTGTTAGCGAGTAAATTTCCATGCTCCCATCAGCGCATACGACACAAAGCGCCCCTGGATCTATGTGCAAATCTTTTTGTTCATAGTCGGCTACATGAAAACTGGGCAAAATACACAATTGTTGGGGACATTTCGCTCGACTAAATGTGACTGCCAAAGTGTATTCATTTGAAATTGTAGAATCGATGTCAAAAAGTAAAAGCTGGGCAGTTACTGCGTCGGAATTGAAATCAACATGATCTGAAACAATAGAAAAGGTTCAACAATAACATTTGCCAAAATTGCTGTTTTATCTAAACAGAGTAGTTTTGTCATACCCTCCATACGTTCATCATCCAAATCCATGTCGACAGTTGCCATTATTATCTTACTCGCTGCTTCATTACGCACTTTTGTCTTAACCAATTTTACGAGCAGTTGATTGCATTTGTCATTGGTTGGCAAAATCTCAGCAATTTCAATAACTTCACGGCGTCCACTAGAAATACTTCCGCCGCCACCACTATTTGCTTCGTTATCCGAAACAAGCGCATTCATACGCCGTACACTCGTGCAACTTTCAACTACGCAGTCAATATCATCATTAACGGTTACCTTCTGTATAACTGTCCCGCCATTCACATTGCCGTTATTGTTGTTATTAGCATTATCATTGTTATTATTATGATTTTGTTGAGCTGCTTGTGCCGCAGCTAATATTTTCTCCTTAAAATAGTTGGTATCCATTTCAATTTCGTTTGAATTCAATGAAACTGTACCGTCGACTCCTACACCGACGCCAAGTTCAGATCCTGCGTCATGTGATTTTTCTAATAATTGAGAAAAATTACTCAAATGACCGAGTTGGTCCATTTTAATAAGTTCATTTTCAAGTTCATTTTCAAGGAGATCGTGCAGAGCCGACGTCTCGGATTTATCTCCAATAACGCAGTCACTTTTTTTTAGGGCAATTAATTCGGATACAAATCCGTTGCTATCGAATCCATCTGCGTATTTTTCCAAAACAGAAGAAAGTGATTTGTTATCATCGTCTCTTTGGTCATATTTGTTACATAGCTTTTCACTATTGTTGCTATCACCACCTCCTCCACCACTATCGCCATTAGCAGCTAATAAATTAGAACAAGAATAATGTTAAGTTTAATTGCAAACTTAATAACAAGGGTACTCATCTGTACGCGAAGTTTCATATTTGGACAATTGGGCAACTTTGCTCAGTGTGTTTCATGAGGACAATTTTATACTTTGTGCAATTTCTGAGTTAATTATTTGACAAGTGTTAATTTAAAAAGGTCAACAATTTAAATTGAAAGTAAAAAAAGTAGTTGTGTGAGGTTTTTTTTTTGCAGTGGCTTTATATCAAATTTCATTTCATTGCCCAGGGTTTAAAATTGCACCGTTTGCCCAGTTTTCCAGGGGTTTTGCTTTTTTAAATGAGTACCCTAAATGTATTTTAATTAATCCCAAGGACTTGTTTTGTCTGACTTGTACCTGTGCTGCTTTTGCCATTATTAATTGAATGACCACTTCCATACCCAGTACCAATAACCCCAACGCCGGTATTTTCTTGAGCACGATCACTTTCTATGATGTTTAGGACCACCATACGCAGTAAGTATTCCCCGGTGTTTTGTCGGATACTCATTCCTAATACTATCTTTGAACCCACGACACCGGCGCGAAGAGTCGACGTGGATGAACATTGTCCTGAAGTACTTCCAACAAAATTGCTGGTCGCTACTCCGCTGGAACTTCCGCTGCCTTGTCCACTAACCAGGGTTGCAGACATTGCGTTTATTTTGTACTGAGCACGCGCATTTGGCAGTACACAAATTGCCGTCACACGTGCCCACTCATACCCCTCGTCGCAGATATCTTTCATTAGTGTAGCAATATTGAATGAATGCATCTTTTTAAGATGCCGTTCAATGCTCCAAACAGTAATCTCTCCCGACTGTGTGCAGCTTGTACATAATACGTTCGAATAATCACTGTTGGAGACGACATCAAACCCGAGACCTGGCGCAGGAACAGCTGGATTTGTCGCATATGTCACAGACAATGGAACGTTTTGTGTGTACTCGCCCTTGACGAAAGGACACATAGGAGAGTGGCGTTCGTGTTCGCTCCATGGTTCATCAGTTTTCTCCCAACAAACGAGACAAACACTACAGGTGAAACACATTGCTCTATCCTCCCCAGATGATGATGGTTGATGATAGAAGCCTGCTTGCGCCATCTGATCGGGTAAAGCCCACTTGTAGTCCATGTGTGGCCACTTTTCAAATGTCTGTCTGCGCACGGCCTCTGAATGCATAAGAACGCGCTGAAAGTTGCTGCCGTGCCAACTCAAGTCCGGAATACGCGAGCCGGCGAGCAGATCAGTGAGTCGTTCATTTATAGCTGACGCTATAGCTAAGGCGGGAATGTGACGCTCCAATCGTTTCAACATGATAACCACATTGTTTGCGACTAATTTTAGGCTAGAATATGACACTTCCAGACAAATTGTGTTCCACTGCAATAAGAAGGATCGAAATATTTTGATATGCGGAGGTATGTTATGACAAAAATTACAACAAAATATCCTAATACGTTTGATTGAACTTACCCTTTGTGCTTTTATACCCTTTTTAGCATTCGCTTGTGCATTTTTTATCTTCTCCAATAGTTCATTAATAACGTCACTAGGGCACTCCAATCCTTCATGTTCGAGATCTTTGAGACATGTTTGGAAGATGACTGCCTCAGATAGAAGTAACTCCAACTTGATAAGATCATCATTTTGTAAAATAGGTGGCTGAAGAATTGTGTCCAATAGTAACACACCGTTGTAATCCCCACGAAGGCCCAAAACCTGTCCATCCCAAAGAAGCACTTTCTCCTGTAGGGGCATGTACTTTCCTAGCACGTTTCTATCGACATCTAAAAAACCAATTGTAAACAGCAGTACGCAAATATTTTTAAGCTTTTACACAGAGGAAACACAGTTAACGTTTAAAACACATTTACATGTTTTAAATAAATAAATAAATCCATATTTATAAGTCCTACAAACGATAGAATGTTTTGTTTAAAATCGGGAAATTGTTTTCAAATAACAATGAAATTTTTTTGGAAAATATACACCCATATGCTGTAATTCGAAAGTTCGTAGTTAAGAATTCGTAGCTCCGATCCGAAAATTGGTATGCTGTAATCCGATCGTAACTATCAGCGGCGTTGCCAACTAAAATAGTGAAATTCGCATTTCTTAATCAGCTGCTTTGACAGAAACAAATCAAAATAAATAAAATCGCAAGTGAACAGTGAAATTAAAAAAAAAAAATGGTTTAATCATTATTTGAAAAGACTTTTCTTTGATAAGTAGAACACAAAAGATTAAGGGCTGGTTTCTCCAACTCAACTTAACTTAGTTAAGCCAATTTTCTGGACTAAGTCAAGAATAAGCTGTGTAAAATGTAGGCTAACTTTTGACTTAAGTCCAAAAAGTGGCTAAACTAGGTTAAGTTGAGTTGGAGAAACAAGCCCTAAGTGGCCGTTGCACTTTTGTCCCAGGAGGAAGAACAGCAAACAGTTGCTAATATACAAAGGAGGTGGTTCTGATCGATTTAGCTTAAATGATAAAATGTAAGATCCCTCCTTTTAAGGCCTCCATTCCACTAGATATTGTGCCGCTTTAATTCTTGGAACGCTTTCCCAAAATCCACCACATCCTCTTTAGCTCCTTTTACAAAGCAAATAATTTGTTTCGCTCCGACACGAGTTGCTATTCGTACAAAATTACCAACAAATACATAAAAATTACAGATATGTCGGATTCAGGCATACCAAAATTACGAATTTCGAAGATGGCCTACGAATTTTGAAATTACGATACGACAACGCGGATTCCAGCATACCAATTTTACGATTCCTAGCAAAATCGAATCTACGACGGATTACAGCATAGGGGTGATAACCTAGTCCCTAGCTGTGAACTCTGCAGAGGATAACCAATGCTACAGTTACATACCCAGTTACAGTTACATACTCCATGTCACTGAGCTTGTCACAAAATCTTCCCTTTGGATAGTAAACATAAACACAAAATTGGTTCATATAAAAAAACCAACATTAGCTTTTGACACGATTTTAAAGCGGAAAGTTATACCTAAAACTAACTGCGCACTAATACTCTGACGCTCTGAGATATTTTTGCCTTTTTCCCTCCTACACTTTTATTGTTTCTAACATTAATCAGTACCTCTAGCTTTTTTAACTTCCACTTATTTTTGTAAACTTTTGTTTCTAGTATATTTTTTACCATTTCCGCCCAATTTGTAAGTCTGTAAAATAACTCCAGAATGTACATCAAGAATTTTCACTTGATTGCTGGAGTCGAACACAAGAATTACATTCAAGTGGGGATGGTAAGCGATATTACGCGATTCCACGACATTGCCCACATCTAAATATCCATCCTGTTTCAGAATACGTTGCTCTGCTGCCATTATTTCATTGAATATATATTATCCGTTGCAAATACTTTAGATTTTTCACCAATTTCACAATTTTTCACGTTGAAAATTATTTTTTTACAAAACTTCTCGTTTTTTTACACTTCGTCGTCTTTTCTCATTAATTTCCGCGAGCAACTGTCATCGTGTGAAAAATAAATTAATTCATAGTTGCCACAGTTTTCAATCTATATCAAAAATCGAGAGCAGTTCGTTATTTTACCTGTATTCTTTTACTACTGTATCGCTAAAAGTATTGT